GATTACTTCTGAAGTTGTTTCTAGTCTTCTACGTCCATGAATGAATTGATTGATGTTAACGACAGCAGATGGGTCGTATACGCCGGGGAGGCTAGGCTATTGCTGAGAATGAAATGCACACGGAGACAATTGTTAGCTGCGGTCCGACACGCCGGGGAGAAAGAGTGTAAACGACTGAGGCTCGCATGCGTCACCGCTATTAGAACTGTGGCAGAATGAGTGACCAGCGATTGCAGTGGTAATTGGTAATGAGTAGATAAGAGGATGTGCGTAGAGTATCGTGAGGTGCTGCCATGGTCACTTTGCATTCTGCAAGAGTCATTCTAGCAAGTGGAGACTGTGTTGCAAGATGTCAAGAGGAGGTCTCTATCTGGAGGCGCAGGTCGTCATTGATGTGTGAGATTGTGCTGTGGGTATGCTTGTGGTGTGTTGGCTTTTCTGTTTGTTTTCCATTTCAGCTCTGTCCGTGTGACCCAGGTTCTCGCAATGGCATCCAAGTCAACGTGCATTAGTCGTGAAGGAAAAAAGGGTTGGATCCCTTTTTTGCCGGGGAGTGTCAATGGAGTTGAAGATTGAACGATCAATTCTTGGTTGTTTGCTCAAAATCAACTTCCTCGATTTTCGCGGAGGCATCAATACGACAGTCATCGTCTCATCGGTCGCTGTTCAGAAAGAAGAGTTAAACATCGTCAGAAGTAACATAACGATTTATTATTGTAATATTTGTTTACAGACCTTAGTTTTCTTAGTTTGCTTAGTGATACTTGATTTATATGCTGGTGTAACAATACATAATACTCAAGTCAACAATTGGTGTTCTGGTTTTTTCGTCCGTTGTTACTAAGCGTTTCTCAGAAATCTTCTAAGAACAGCGTGGGCCCGAGCGTAGCGAGAGCTGGGCATTAACGGTTTATGAGACTTTGCTGACAGCTGTTATTTAGCTAAATGTTATGATGGTAATGCGCTTTGGACCCTCGTGTTACTTGCTTTTTGTACTGGAGTCCTCCAGTGATTTTGAACCGTTCCTTAACTGCCAGAAGCGATTGAGAAGTACCGGTTAGGTCAGTAATACTTTGTCAGAAGGCTACTGGATAGTGAATTCCTATGCATTGACCACACTAGCCTGATTAACAGTCTTCCCTTAACACCTTAACTATTTTAAGCAGGATACAATACCCATCCTTTTAAAGGTTATGTTGAGTTAACGGCAGGCATAATTCGAACGCATGCACGTGTTCAATACAAGGAATAACACACCTTAGACCAATCTCTTTTATCCCAGGTGACTGAGGAGTAGACTGGAATAATCTAGAAGGTGGATTTTTAAGCCAAAATACATCAATTATACACGCGAATGTTTCATTGTTGAAAAAAATGCAATTTCTTTTCTGGTTCCTATAGTCGACACTGTACGATGAGGTTTTACTCACTTAACTTCAAATTGCGTGACACGATATGTAGCGTTGCGGTGTATTCAATTGAAGTTGGGGCGCGCAATTCACGTGGTAAGTAGGATTATATACTTTTGTAAATATTTCAAAAACTCGAAGACCATTATGTCCTTTGGTTTTTACGGCTATTGATTAAATTACTTCTGACCACTTTCTGAGCTTGAATGCAAGCAATTGTAAAGAGTGTATGCCACATTTCACGTCGACGTGAAATGGGTTGGATCTGCAGTGCACATTGTACCTTTGAACTTTTGTTTAAACGGACTCACCCACGGTGACCCACGTTTTATCTTTTGACTTGGGAGTCTACCGTACGTTCATTGGTTCGCTATTTTGTTGTGCTCTCTTTCTGCACACTCTCCGAGCCTACCTCCACCCAGTCGGTTACTTTTTTTGTGGACCTGGGATATGTGGGTAAAAACGTGGGTAGTTTTCCGTTTAAATGTGGGCAAAGTGGGATAAGGTGGGCTGTTTTCGTTTGTAACATGGACGAAGTGGGAATAAGTGGGCTGTTTTCTAAAATGACATGGGCAAACGGGGAAAAAGTGGGTATATTTTGAATTCCTGCACATGGGATAAATGGGTGAAAACGTGGGTTACGTGGGAAAACTGGGAAAAGGTGGGACAAACAAATTTTATCTGGACATGGGAAAACGGGGAAAAAGTGGGAAATGTGGCCAAAGTGGGTAAAATCGGTTGCATTTACACCATCTTTTGCCCACGTGTTTGCCGATCAAAATTACCCTTTTATCCCACGTTTGCCCATGTGTATTAACCGACTGGGCAGTAACGTCTGCAGCTAAGTTGTACAGTCACTTTATTTATTAAATCTGTCATTTAGTTACGTTAAATACAACTCATACTAAGAATTCTTTCCATTGTTAGCTTTTAAACTTTGATTGAGTTAATCATTACTTACCCCAGTCGGTTACTTTTTTTTCGACCTGGGATATGTGGGTAAAAACGTGAGCAGTTTTCGTTTGTAACATGGGTAAAGTGGGAAGAAGTGGGCAAACGTGGGCAACTATTTTCTGGAGACGTGGGAAATGTGGGAAAATATGGGAAACAGGGGAAACATGGGAAGAAAGGGGTGAATTTGGTTTTGTAGCGCAGTCATACTAAGATGGGGATTGCACGAGGTGAGGAACATTTCAGCTTGAATATTATACAATGCGTCTGTAATCACTGTGAATTGGCATGAAGACAAATGATGACGATTTCATTTCCATTATTTTGACACGTTTGTTTATGTGAATTCAAACTAAAGTTTGACTTCCGAAGCCGCGATTTCAAATTCTTCGTCGTGCACCCCTGACTAGGTGAGCTAAGTATGTGCAGTAATGTCATTTTAAGGTAATAAAATGGATACTGAAAGTGAAGCAGTACCAAGTGGTAGTAATGTGAATACCCCTAGACGTCTTAGAAGTGCTTTATTCTCTTTAATATAGCCTTGTGCTTTAGGTTTGTTGTAAAAAGAGACAGGCCACCGATCCACATTGTATAGACGAACTAAGAGATTGGAATCGGAGTTGCTCGGTGACGTAGCCAAGATGATACTTCCCGATTTCAGCGTCGAGGCTGTTGAATGTCTAGTAGATGAAACTTCTTGTAGCGTCGTAAACGTGCAAAGTGACATGCAAATCACTTCACCAAGTTGGTTTCTTAGTATTTAATGTGACGACTATTTGATAAGGTAATGCTGTGGGTGCTCTTTTGTCCCATGAGATACGTTCCGATAAGGCGAAAGAACGGAATTCAAAGGCCGAGCTTAGGAAGACTGCCTTAAAGCTTATGATGACCACTAAAACACCCATTGTTGATGGTGGAAAGATTATGCGATTGTTCAAACGGCATATTCCAAGATTACCAACAAATATAAGACACATTCTCAAAACTAGCCAGTCATGCCCCTCAACTGTTATTGGTAGTGGAGTTTACTATCATATTGGTTTGCGAAGTATACTTACGCCTATACTGAGTTGTTGGTGTCAGTTTGCATCTTTTGATTGCGTTAATCTGCAGCTGAATGTTGATGGATTGTCACTGTTTAACAATGGTACACAGCAAGTTTGGCCGATATTGGGTCGACTGGTGAAACCGTTTCTCAGTGATATATTTCTTATTGGAGTTTATGGTGGTTTTCATAAGCCGTCTGACTTCAATAGTTTTTTATTGCCAGTTGTAACTGACATGGAGGACTTATATGCACATGGTTTACAAATCAATGAGAGGCATATCGGCTTCCGGCTTAACAGTGTTATCTGCGATAAGCCTGCAAGATCTGACGTCACTTTTACAGCAAGTCACAACAGTAGGAAAGGTTGTGACAGATGTTGCGTTACTGGCAACTATGTAAACCGACGCATGGTATTTAAGGATGTTAACAGCTGTCGCAGGACAGATAATAGCTTTAGGAGTAAGGAAGATGCCGATTACCACCATGGCACATCAGTATTTGAGAGACTTCCAATTGATATGGTTAAGATTTTTCCATTAGATTATATGCATTTAGTCTGCTTAGGTGTTGTTAGACGGCAATTGGGCATATGGTTGCGTTTGGCAAAACAACGCGTTAGGTAGAGTACTGGTAAAGTCATAAGACGGTGAAGTTTTTAGTAAGTGTGGTGATATCGAAGACTATCTTAAGTCTAGCTTCAACACTTACAGATCCAACCCAAAATAAAATCTTTTTTGGTGTGTGTGTGTGGGGGGGGGAGGTGATGAAAAAAAATACCATTGGGACAGCAAAAATCAAATGGATCATTGATATTCTGAAATAGGAACTAGTTTGATATTTCGATAAGCATATTTCCATTAGGATGTAGGTCATATTTTTGCAGCAATATTTAACCCTAAATGGTAACGATATGATTAATTGGCTGAAGGTTATTTTGCTTTGGTATGTATATTGTATTGTTGCCTTTGTATGAATCTCAAGTTCCACAGTTCTAATATCATTGACCACTGCAGTCTGACCCGAAGAATTATCAAACAACGTATTGTAGTTTATGGTAGACACCACTGAAATTAAAATGTCGGGTTGTTACAAGTTCTTGACTTTTGAGTGTATCTAAATGCCTTAGCTGTGAATGTTTTCAACCAAACTTCTCGTCAAAGCTATATTTTAGGCCTACGTACATTTGTGACGATGTGATTTCCATACTAAATTTTGAACTCAGGCTTTGAGGGACGTATTTCTGACTAAACAAGTATTCACTTGCTCTGTAGATTCGTGTATTTTTATAAAAAGTCTATTGTTTTATTGTTCTTGAGCCATAATTTACCTTTTTATTCTCTTAGTTTTTTATTTGCTTTATCAATCTGTGTGGCATATTTGGGGATTTCTGTTTTGCTTCTTTTGGTACATTTGAAACAGTGGTATAACAAACGAGATCACATATGAATTTGATGTGGTTAGTCAGAGTTTACGTTGGTTTTAATGTAATCATTGAAAGAAAACCGAGTTAATTAATAATAGTGGATACTGTTCAGAATTTGCGTCATCTTTGCCGCTGGCATGTTTTCTGGCTGTCCACCAAAAACCATGCGTTCTATAAAGCAGTTCATTCCGCCTCACTTTATAGCCGTTAGAAATGGCGGTTGAAGGCTGATCAAATTCGCGTCCGTTCAGTTCTGTGTCGGATGTGGAGATGTGTCCTGTTGTGCAGTCAACGCTAGTATTATCTATGAATAAAAAGGTAATCGATGGGCTTATGAATCTTCGTCTTTTGAGATAACTAGGATGTGCTACACGTGTAAAACAAAGTTACTCAGAATGAGGTTGTGGAAGAGTTGAGTGTGGTCAGACAAAAACACGGGACTTGTCCATTCAAGCCCTGAGTGCTAGTTTGATCTATGGATAGAGGTGTAGATGGCTTGCTTGAGTTCCCTAGGATGTTAAATGTGAGTAGTTGGAGGTCCCCAATGACGTCATTCAAAATGGTTTTTACTAACGTGGAAGTATTCTTTCTAGTCTTCCTTGTAGTTGTACTTTTACCTTCGCTTTTCTGTTCATATTGTTTATGGGTATTTCCACAGTTAAGCTCACTCAAAACATATTCTTTTCCTTGTACTACTTTTCCCGTAAATCTGATTTATTTTATTTTGTAATTTCGATAGTAGAGCTGTGGCTCACTGGGTTATATCATTAGGCCTCTCACAACAGGTATGAATCATTGCTCACTTTGCAAGTAAATACACGTAAACCACTATTATCACTGGTTGATGTCAAACCTTAATTTGTGGATTTGTATTATTTTCAGATGGAGCAGAGCATTTTTGTTTTTAATGATTGATAGACAGTTGTATATCCTCCCCTGATAAGAGCTAGTGAGTTGCTTAATAGTCGCCTCTTGACCAACTGTTTGTTCTTATTATAAGCTAGGTAGATACACTTTATCCAGTAATTTGGAGTGGCCTATATGGTAGTAATGTATTTAGCAACTGTCCCATGGTACTGTAGAACTCTACTTGGATAATTGTTAAACAATGAAGTCAATCTATAGAATGTGATATATTTGCACACACACTGCAGTCACTGACTTATTTGTGAATTTAGTTTATGCGGAAATGAAAAAAATGAGGCTAAACAAGGTAAACAGAATCATTAGGGATTTAAGAGTAAGGGTGGTAATAATTGACATTATTTTTATTTTTTGTTTTCTTCACGTTCCCCAGTGGAACATAGGGCTTCAAGCTAGTGGCTTGAAGTTTCTGTAGCAGTGTTTAATTTTACAGGACGGGGTTGCTGGCCTCATGCCCAACCTTCCCTTTTACCAGCATTACTGGCTTAGCGAGGTAAAGGAGTGCACGGTCGGCGAGCGTCCTAACCGCTATGACACCGACGCACAATTGACATTATTATTATTATTATTATTATTATTCACTTGCATTCCGAGTGAAGCATAGGGTTGCAACAACACATCTCCACTTTGTTCTATTTTTTACCATTTTCTTCAGCTGGCTCCACGATTGACCAAACTCTCTCATCTCTTCCTCACATGGTCTGCTCTATGTCACCCTAGGATGCCCCCGTTGTCATAGCTACCCATTTGAATTCCACTCGAGGGCCTGGAGTGCAATGTCATTCGGTAGCCTCCTCAATGTATGCCCGACCCACCTCCACTTTCTTCTACATATTTTTGAGCGATCGGCTCTTGGTTGGTTTGTTCATCGCCAGAGATTTTTGTTGCTCATTCGTTCTGGCCACTTAATCTTCTGTGTGGAGCCAACCAGCGAAGATGGCAGCTACTGATAAAGGCCTGCAACTTGTTAGAAATCCTTTTCGTGACATGCTGTCCAAATTTCTGACTCGTACAGAAGAACCGACTTCACATTGGTGTTGAAAATGCGAATCTTGTTCCTTATGCTGAATGTGGAAGATTTCCAAATTGGTTTCAGGTTGATGAAGGCATATCTTGCCTTTGCGACTCTGATTGGCTAGCTTTGACATCTTCGTCCGTTACGCTTGTACTTGAAACGATGCTTCCCAGATAAGTGAAGGAATAGCAGTATAATCAGTTGAGCATTATTAAGTTAACATTATTAAGTTTAACAAAAAATTGTCATTTTACACAAAAGTAGAACGAGCTTAATTTTATGAGGGGTTTTCGCCTCACCACATTCTATTATTCACCCCTGTTAGCTTTTTATGTAATCTTAAAAGCTGTTTCGAGACCAATCTTATGACTAATATGCATCTTTTATATTTAGTTTTATTTTTGATTACAGCTTGATTCCATACCGTATTTTTTGGTACAAGTATGGAATTTTCAGCGTGGATATCGGTAGCCCAAATTTCGCAGGCCGACCATTGAGATCACGTGTGCGTCGGCGTGAGCTCGAACACCGGACCATGTGCATGGTCGGTGAGAGTCCTAACCACTCTGCCACCGACGCATATTTTGTTTTGACGGTCTGCCACCTGTGTTTAGTAAGATTTTAAAGTTCTATTATTTTTTAAGTCATTTGAGTACATGTTTCCCCCACTTTCATGTGCAAGAAACGATTACTCCAACTTATCTACATGATATGGCGGAAAATCATTCTCATTGATGGAAATACGTTAACATTTTGTGATCTACTGGATCTGTTAAATCCTCATTATTCTCCATGTAATTATTCTTTCTCTTTCACATATCTGTTTATTTTATTTTCTCAATTTCTTGTATTTGTATGTGCAAGTTGAACTGCTTCACTTTCGCGCAAAGACCTACATTGGAAATACAGTTCCAGTCTCATGTATGTGTCCATACATGTAAATTGGGATGCTATCGAAGTCTTTTGAAGGTTTTTTAGTAATTACAAGCCGGGATCGAGAGCGAATTTTACGGATAACAGAATTAATTTTATTTGGACATAACCTGAGCACAATGAATAATGAATTTAATCTTATAAACAGTAACTCTCCAACCAGTTCTTATCACTTCGCTTACTTAGTCGGCCATGACTTTCTCAGCATAAGGTTAACTAAGAATAGCTACGTGGGGAAAATAATTTATGCACTTCCTTGAGATTACTGTCTCTCATAATAACCAGTGTTAATTAGAAGATGTATTTTATGTGGCTCCCTAATTATACCTTATTGATTAGTCAATGAAGTTTAACTATTGATTTTTTAAAAATTACTATAGAGTAACTTTCTTCTCTTAATAAAGGTATTCAGAGATGGATGATGACTTCAGTCGTTTACTTACTCAAACGTATTTACTTGAAGGCGCATTTGGCCCTATAATTGATTATCTTCCAAAACTGGCAAGAGATTTAGGAAGTCTGAAGGAGTCATTATGCCTTTTGTCTAAGACTGAGTAAGTTACAAGTTTTGTTTTTTTGAACCTTCAGTTCGTCGTCGTTCTTCGTACTACCGAAGTCCAACAGAGCGTCAACTGAAGTAATTTCATGGCACTCTTACTTGATTTTTTATTTTAGACTGAATTAAACACACTAATCACTAGTATGCTTGAAGACTCTTCTGTTATCGGTCAACTAATCCGTAATTTTTATTGTTCACATGAAAACAGTGATTTTGTTAATTGTTTGAAGTCCGCTGTCATTGAGGCGAGTAAGCCTACTCAGACAACGAATTGTGACATGTAAGAATTTATATGGATCTTTTTATAACTGAACTTATCGTATTTTAGAAGTGATATTTTAATCGTAAGTATTCTCTTACTCATAATGCATTCGAGTAAAGAAAAAACAATTGGATCATGTGCGCGCTTTTCTCAGCAATAATTCAAACCGTCAATTGAAGGTAAGTTTAGCGAATGTGTATAGTTTGTATTCTTATAGGATATGTTGATTTGAAAATGTGATAGTATCTTTTTGTTCCTCAACGTTTATATTACAACGATCGCTGATACCTTACATATACTCTATTTCTCGTGCTGACTTCTGTCTATCCCTTATATTTTAATGAAGTTTAAGCAACTTCTGTTTCTCATTTGTTTGTGTTCTCTTTGAGACAGTTGATTTAGTTACGAAGCTGCCATTGTCGTCCTCCTTCTAGAATACATCTTCAATTCAAGCTAATTGCTGAGTCCTGTTTCATTTTCAAAAGAACCTTTGTTAACCCAATTTTTTCACTTTCTCCAGTGTTGTCTTTTTTCACAAGTCTGGTTTGAGAATTTACTGTCGTCACTGATCTGTCCAGTGAAACTACTCGATTGCCTTCCGTTTAAAATGGAGTTCAGTTAAATAGAGTTACTTTTGACGCATCAGTTTTTCCCACTGTTTTAAGTGGTTTATAGAAAAGTAAATGTAATCCATTAGGTACTCAGTGTTTCTTTACAATCCTTTTATATGAGATGTTTATCTTCATGCTTCCATTGGAAATGTTACAGATGTTGTAGATGAAGTTATGCCGAGTTTTGACATAAGAATGTAGTTAACGCAAGGAATCTTTCCGTTGTTTCAGGCTAGTATACCTCAAAAATGCACAATACAAACACCTCATTCAAGAGCCAGTTATTTAAATAGTCGTATTATGGAGTTGAAGTCCAGAATAGAAGATAAGAAAATATACCTTTCTGATGGTAAAGTGGATACAGCAGATCTCGAGAGCCTTTTGGTAAGCGGAATGGCCAAAAATGTTTATTAATTTTAAAATATTCATCATGGTTATGTTTAGTGTTCAACATCTGATTGTTTTCTTCCGCACACAGTATTTATTCAGACACAATGATTCATACTGACGCTGTACTAAATTATGGATATTAAACTGTCTACTTTTGTCTGGAAGGTCAATTAATATTTGATGGGTTCATGGCTGAAAACTGATGAAGAACCCTAGAATAGTACAAAACGGTTATCTAGTCCTTCCACTCTGAGTGTACTGATTATTTAGGTAATATTTAGGAGATTGCACCAGCTGCTGTCTAGTAGGTAGCAATTAAAAACGAAGTTTGGAAAAGGAGTAATTGTGGGCGTAGGACTAACAACTCCATCGCTACTGAAAGCCCAAAGTACAGAAGAAACCAACTTCTTTTCTACTGAATTTGGTGAGACTCCTTGATTCGGGGACGGATGACAGAGTGAGGCATGCGAAGTGAAGACAGGAGTAAGAAGAGGCTGCCTACTACCACCGACGATATATTTATGATTGTAGTGGACTGGATCACGAGGGAGATTGTGGGGAGTGGGAAGATGAGTATACGTTGGGCTAGCGAAAAGACTCTAGAAGGTCTGGATTCCTCAGATGATTTATGTCTTATACTGAATAATCTCGAAAATTGATAAGAGAAAATTATGAAGTTGTTGGATGGAGGCAGTGATGAAAGGACTTCAAATGAACATAGAGAAGACAGAGGTGATGAAGTTCCCCGTACCACCACGAACAAGTACCTACCACAATTAATGGGGAGGGGGGAGGGAATCTAGGAAAAGTCATTCCAACTACAAGCAGGCGAAATTAATAAGGGTTTCAAAATCCATTAAGGATCAGGAAAGCTGGATAGGTATTCATTACTATGAAATAGTTGTAGACCTCTACAGCGTTTGTATAAAGAACAAAATTCATGTTTTCAACATCAGTGTCAGTTCAATGCGCCTTTTATGTTGCTCAAAGCCTTGATGGCAGCTTCAAGGAAAGCATTAACAACTGCTTCTTTTTTTGAGTATTCATACATTTTTAAAAATAAATTCTGGTGGGTAGTTATTCACTAGTAATTTTTTTCATTATTAGTTTGATTTCATCATTTAAATCTTACTAGTTAGGCTCTTGGTCCGATTCTAGAGACATTTATCTAAACCTGCCCTTACCGATTCTGGATGGAATGGATCTTTTTTGTTCATCGAATTAAACATCAAACGCCTGCAGTCGAAATAACGCAACGCCTACACCAGAAATATAGTAAGTGGCAATAAACACCAAGGGGAGGATGACGAGACAGAAAGAGAGAAAATATATATATACAAGACAAACTGTGAAGCCGTGTGATCAAATCGATATGATTATGAGCAATAAATTGTTGTGCTCAAAATATTATTCAATTATTAATACTGTATCAGTGCATGCTATTTGAAATAAATTTATCTGATATGGAATTACATTCTACCAGCATAATGTCCAAATTCTACACTTAGATTAAAATATTTGAACCATTATTGCCGGTGTCTTGATAATCACCTGAAAACGGCCTTGAGTGTTTCATTCTCAAGCCGCCAGTTTTGCTTTTGGTTTGAAATTGAAGTTTCCACAATTCTACAGCTTAGAACACTTTTTTTAAATCTACTTTTTCTATGTCCAATAAATTAAGGCGGATAAACGAAAATCAATATTACGGTTGCATGAAAAATCTGAAAATCTGTTGTCTAATTTACCTTCATTATGTGAAGAGGTTAGTTGTGTTTGTTAATCTTTCTGTATAAGAGATTATTTTTTTATTTTTATTCTTTTGCGTTCCCAGAGGGAGATAAGACTTTAAGTTTGTGCCTTAAAGTTTTAGTATCAGTGTTGATGTAAAGGTAGAAGACGAGAGACTTGGTAAAGGAATGTTTATTTAGGATTTAGTATCGCTATATAACGGAATTATGTACATCCTTATCTCCAAATCACTATTTGCTCAGATCATCTTACGTGTTGTGCTACTCCTGACCTTCCTTCATCTTGTGTTTCTTTGTGTTCCTTTCACATCGTCTCCCATGTACCTCTGCAACTCTGCATTATTTGCTTTCTCTGAGATGATTTTATGCCGATGAATATCTCTTTGCGTATACTGTAACGACAGAAGACAAGGGCCGGGCAACAGGTCGTTTATTAAGAAAATCAACAGATATTTGTAGATTTTTATTTACATTATTATTCGTTATTGTTAACAGAGAAGCAACGTCTTCTAATTGGTTGTTTTCTTGCTGAAGGTTATTCTGTCATCTCTTTGTGTCCGTTTCTTAGACAGTCCGCTAATATATCAGTGAATCGTATCCGCCCACGCTAAGTCCGCTGTGATCGGTTGTTGAGTTCCTCAAGGTTCGGCTTTGTTCTTGTTTTCTGTCATGACCAAGATTTGGAACGTAAACGTTGACGTAAATTGTTGTTGACAGTTTTGTTTTGCAGACAGTTCTCACCGCAATTCTACTGATAAATCTTATCAGTGGCACACGCCACAGCGGTATTTTTTCTACGGGGGTGGGGAATACCAGCCTCCCACCCAGCCTTCTCTTTTTATGATGATTACTACTGGTTGTGCGGGGTTAAGCAGTGCATAGACTAGGGATAAGACCTCGGATCACGTGAGGCATGGTTGGCGAGTGATTCTACGATTGGACCTATTAGCACACAATTTTACATATAAGGCTTTTATTATTACTACCATTCTCACTATCTTTAGTCGTAATGATTGCACCAAGCGTATTTGACAACGTAATTATTAAATGACAAGTCTATATATTAAAATCAAAATTTGCACATGCCTTCCGTATTATGCATCTTTGTCTTCCTTTCATTGTTTTTAAATTGTTTCACAAGAGTCGTTCATTTCTGCTCTTCGTCATTAAATCCATTTCTCCGCCATTCGATATTCTTGACAATGATATATATATTTGGTCTGTAGCTTTAATCTACTTATAAATCTTATCAGTAGCATACGTCACATTAGTAGCAGTAGTGAAGTGTTTGAAGTTGGTATTTCGGGAGAATCTCCTCAGCCATTTTTGTAAATTTTACAAATCTATGCAGCATAAAATTGTTCTTATCACTCGAGTAATAGCTGATATCCTCTTTTTTATTGTTGATACAGGTCTTCGCTATAAAAAAGGTTCCCGGATGCATTACAGTGTATAACCTTAAAATACCACTTAATCCATATTTTCATACACCTAGCTCCCTTGATAAGCTTTGAACAAAGGCAATATTTTGATTTTGGGAGAAGTTCAACAATAGTGTCCCAGGAGTGTTAACGCTCCAATACTAGTCATTGGCTAACGACACCTGTCATTATCACAGCTGAAATATCAACGCTATTCATTAATTTAGGAGCAAAGTTCACCCAGATCACGTTTTTAAGTACTGTTTGGACAATGTGTTAGGGTTAGGAATAGGGTTAAGGATCAGGGTTATAATTAGCATTAGGGTTAGGGTTTGAATAGGGCTTATGATTAGGGTTAGGATTAAGGTTAAGTTTAGTGTTAGGGTCAGGATTAAGCTTATGGTTACGATTAGGGATAGATTTATAGTTCATGTCATTTATTTTAATGTTTTTTATTATCCACGTTTTCCTGGTAAGCAGTCGTCTATCCTCTTGCTGGAAACCATAATAATCCAACCGAGGGCTTTTTGGGAAGACTGCAAGCAGGATGAGAGAGATAAACGATTCACAAAAACAGCTCATCTGTAGTCATCTCGGTGAATATATGTACAGAAACTAGTCTAACTTTGAAACTGATACTCCTCGTTATAACTAGGACGTATTTTTAAGTCATGTCAGAGAAAGATAACCTGTTTAATGCGTTTTCAAGCATTTTCTTGTCAATATACATCATTTTTTAAGCAAACATTCCTCATTTTTATGATTGGTTAGCTGAAGGTCACTTGTGCGTTCGCACTCCTTGGACGCTATTGTTGAACTTTGCTTGATTTTGTATCCATAGTTAGTAACTAGCGTCCAATCAAAGTATCCAATATAATCCCACAGGAGACCAATCGTGAGCCTGAATATTTCAGTGGCAACACTGACTGCGGCACTGAGTAGTGACATTGGTTCGAATCTCATAAGAGACATAAGTTCCTTCAAGATGACGGATGTGAGTTGCTGACTTATGAGAGTGCCAACAAGCGTGAAACTTAGGTCAGACTGGGCTTCCTAGTGATTGCCTCCAACCGTCTAATATGATTAATGAATATGTTTGTATATTCGGTTGTTTTGTAATGGTGTTTGTGTTCATTCTCAATTATACTTATTTCCTTTTTATGTCTATACCTACAACAGGTGAAGCATATGAAACACGAACTGTCGAATCAGATAAATGAAACAATCAATAAATGTCCATCTGATGATTTATTGAAAAGGATACTTCAGAAAATCATCAAAAATGGGGAATGTTCTGGGTAGGTATTTCTATTTTCCCATATTCCTATCACAAATACTGATATGGGCACTTGCAGCTGTGTCATAATTTATTTTCCCTAAACTGTCGCGAATTTTAGATGTTTAAATTAATTTTGATTTTCCTGTTGATTGACTGGACCGAAATGTTTGACTCCTGGGTTTGAGTCCCACTGGGAACACCATCACTCACCCACTCACTGAGGGTTGTGCACGTACGTTCAGCTGGCGAGGCTCAAATGGGACGAAGTACTAACCCCGGACTCCACTGCTGGTTACTTGATGTTAAGTTTTGATTTTAACTACTTTTCAATGGTGGAAAATACCCATGAAGATACTGAAGAGAAAGGAATAAAAAGCCCAGCGAAGATATTTTTCGGCGATTTTTTTATGACCATAGGGTCAGACTAGAAAAGAGCTAGCGGCGGTCAAACCGAAACATGGCCTCATCAATCAATAAAATCCACAACAGTTAGTTTAAACCACGTAGGAAGATGTAGACTTCCTGACTGGTTGGGGTCCTCGGGACAGTAAACACCAATGGCTAGAAACAATTGATAATATTGCTCAAAGTGATCGTTGTCAATAGCTGTCGCAGATGCATCCACTCCTTGTGACTTATAGTTTCCAGTGAAATCATATTGTTCTTCGTTATTACTATTCCTTTGTCTCACACCTCTGTTTACTGTCTCTATTTCGGATTTCTTATACTTTCTTTTCATGGTTTGTGTGCTACGTGGAGTGTGGCGACTTGAACTGTCGCACATCGGTGCAAAGTTTTATGTCGAAAACAGACAGACAGATAGACAGATGAGGTTGTGAAGCTACATCGATTGAAATGCCTAAGATATGTGTTACGCATTCCTAACCATTGCTGTCCTCGACAGATGATATTAGCTGACATATAGTTGAGTTGGAAAAGAGCTAGTAGTTGTCGAACTGAAACTTGGAATCAGTCCATGGATTCGTTGGCAGTTAATTTGAGCCACCCACGTGGTGACATGTAGACTTCCTGATTGTGGTCTTGGGGATTAGAAGAACCAATATCTGGAGACAGTTGGTGATATGGCTCAAAATCGCTGTCAGTGGCGCAGATGCATTCACTCTTTGTGGTCTCCTATATCTATTACTCTCTTATCTTTTTTCCATGTTACTATTCTTTGTCCGTCACATTTCTGCTTATCACCTTTATTCTGAATCTCTGTTTTCTTCCTTTGTATGGTTCGTAGAGTGTGGCAACTTGAAGTGGTGCATTTCTGTACTAAGTTCTACGTCGAAACCAGTCAGTCAATAATTCTCTCTCTCTCTCTCCCTATATATATATATATATGATGCTGAGTGCTGTTGACCTCCACACAGACTTGAGAGTAATGGAAACTTGCCTTACTTTCCCGATCCTCACTTTGATATCCTCATCAGTTCCGTCCGCCTGTAGTTGAAACGATGCTTCCCAGGTCGGTAGGTAAAGGAGGTTGCTTCCTTCAGATTCTTCCCATTTATGCTGGTTGCTGTCTGTTGTTGTAGTTGCTGTTTCTGTTGGCCAGTAATCTTCATAATCTCTGTTTTATCTATGTTCACCTGAAGTCCTATCTTTGATGCTTCTTCTGCCAACTTGTTGCTTTTCACTTTCATATCTTCCAGTTTGTGGGAAATGAGACATAGATCATCGGCGAAGTCCAGATCCTCCAAGTTTTTTTGTGTGAGTCCATTTTACGCCTGTTTCCTCATTACCCGTTGTCTGTCGCATTATCCAATCTACTGCAATCAGGAAGATCATTGGGGATAGTAGACAGCCTTGTCTTACTCCTGTCTTCACTTCGAAGGATTCCGTAAGTTTCCCGTTGTGGATTACTTGGGATGCAGCATTGTCGTACAACTGTTGGATGAGATGTATAGTTGTCGGTGGCACACCTTGGTAGTAGCGATGTAGTTGCCAAATGACCTCTCGATCGACGCTGTCGAATGCCTTTTCAAAGTCGATGAAGTTGAGTGCGGTGGAGAGGTGACTGCCATTCTAAGCTTTGTTCAACGATGATCCGTAGTCTGGCAATTTGATCAAAATATGACTTGTTTCTCCTGAATCCAGCCTGTTCCGGTCGAAGTTTTTCATCCAGGACAGTGTGTTTGATTCTCTCCAGGATGATGTGGCTTATTATTTTGCTTGGGATGGACAGGAGCATAATTCCGCACCAGTTTTTACATTGACTTAAGTCTCCTTTCTTTGGTAGTTTGAATAGGTATCCTTTCTTCCAATCCTCGGGTACTTTGCCCTCTTTCCACACCTTCTCCAGTAATGTCGTCATCAAGTCCGCTGTTGTTTCTGGGTCTATTTTCAATATATATATATATATATATATATATATATGCACAAGTTTTTATTATTTATCAAGGGATTTACGTATTTATGGAGGGTTCCCTATATAATATTCCACTAATTGTTACTTGTTTTCCTGTTACTTTTGATGATTTGTTAACATGTACTTTTATCTACAGAAACAGAACCGTCGCCGAGAGATTGTGTGCCAATAGTTTATATACAGGTTGTTGTCGTTTGTTTGCTTTGGATGAACATGATGTCACGGTGAGTTCCGTTCAGCGTGTGAATTGTTACGTTTATGTATGTATGCATGTGTTTTGTATAACGCTGAGATACCCATACAAGAAAGATATGTTGTTATTCACCTAAGCATACCTAACCAACATGGTGAGGTTAGAAAATTCGCCATAGCATCGTCTGTGGATTTTCTAACTAATCCTTGTCGACTCTCTGAGGTTTTTCGAAATTAAAGGGTCATCATTTTGCTATCTGAGTGGGTCCGTACAAGGCGACTGACACAACGTGTAGCGAAATGTGTCCAATTATAAGCCGACTAAAAGACTCCGTAAAGTTTTCCAATCAGTTCTAAGTGACGAAGGCGTAAGTTATAAAAAAAGGCATTGACTGCTGCGGTAGGAATATACAGTGTTTTTCTCAAGATGTTTAAGGACAATGGCGCTAATGATGATAATGAGTTATTGAGTTAAAGTATCATTCTGGTCGCCATAGTGCTTTATAAACTTCACGAAACACACTTGTTAAAGTAGCATGCGGAGGTCACTCTGATTTTCCTACAAGCCTTTGATGCAACAATCTTCTGTTGACTAACTGTGAGTGCCTAGGACACAAAAAGTATTGCAGACCTTAGAGAGGACTGCTTCCTGAAGTAATCTACTAAGGAGAGACATTCGTGTGAAGCTTCTTAGCGTCAGAAAGCCCTACACAAAACTCTATAAGCAGAGTGAAGGTACATCTGCACTTATCACCACTATTCTTAACCAGCTTTAGGGCCTCTATTTCTCTGTAACATTGCCACCAGTCTATGAATTAGGAATGTCGTGTATCTCTCTCCATACTCATTTGTGTATGCAGAGATTTGTTGTATTTTGTACTTCGTTGAGACCCGAATGAATCTTGTGCTGATATGTTGAATTTTTCTCCGTCTTGTTATTAGGATTTTCTGCTGAATCCGAACAAGGTAGAACTTCTTAAATACACTCACTGTCTGATAAGTTTGTGTAGCCATGACGCGTTATAATTTTATTAGAGGGGTGTTTGTCATTATTCGCCTTAAATTTTTGATTTTTACAAATTTTCTAGTCAGTTCATTTACATATATTGCCATTTATGAATTTGAATAAAGCAAGAAAAGAACAACGCCTTGTGCACAGAATAACATCAGACCATCGTCTATCTCGTCGACTTCTCATCAACTACATACAAACTGAAGTGATTATTAAGTTCATGTAGAGAACAATTTTAACATACTTGCTTCCAAATGTTACATGACATCAGTCAGCAGGAGAGACTGTAAGCTTGATGAACACTGCTCAGAAATTACACTTAGATAACAACTTATACACAGAAGAAGATTCAAGTTTAAACAAAACAAAGTCAAAAAAGTAAAATTAAATAAATGTTTGCATATGGTGGAAAAGCAGTTGCATAATAAGGACAAGAGGTGAGTAAGATGATGGGTAACTAATAAATCGAGTAACAATGTGGTGAATTCAACTCAAATCATTGGAACAAGAGACAGACAAAATTACATCATAGCGAAGGGTAAGAGGTTAAAGCCAGAGATTACGTAACTAAATGGAAGGGAATGAGAATAAAGACACTGAGTTACCATTTCAAGTGAAGAAAGACTGATAACTGTTTCCTTTTGAACGCATAAGTCAGGTTTCAAGCGTTCGATCTTAGTTGCGTAGGAAAACTTGAGGGATAGGCAACAGAAGAATGAATACGTCGCTAACCAGAGCCTATCCTGCAGCCAAGATAGTTCCCGTTTATCGGACAAAATGCTCTCTGATGCAATCTTATATTAGCTCATACAATGTATACAAATTTACATGTATTTGCAGTACCAGTTACATTTAGAAAACAGAAAGAAGATTTTTTGAACATGTACCAAAAGGCCTAGTGCGTTGTCGGCACAGTAGTAGAATGCCTGTCAACCACGCAGGTGGTTTGGGGTTCGATCCCTGGCTGATGCATTCCTTTACCTTGCTAGCCTAGTAATAAGACTGATAAAGAGGTAAGGTTGGGCATGAGGCTAGCAACCTCACCTCGTGAAAATAAAACACCACTGCTACCGAAACTTCAAAGCTCTATCTTAAAGTCCTATGTTCCACTGGGAACTTAAAGGATCACTTGACCCAAAGGACGACGTCTGAAAGGAACAAACGCTTTCAATAGTGCTATCGTCACGCACTTCGTCGATGCAGGTTATGAAGTGGACATAGTAAAATCCTTTAAAATTATTAATAAACAAAATAGCTCAACTCTCCCTCAGGTCTACCAAAGCGTCTGAGACCAAACGCTTGAAACCTGACTTATGCGTTCAAAAGGAAACAGTTATCAGTCTTTCTTCACTTGAAATGGTAACTCAGTGTCTTTATTCTCATTCCCTTCCATTTAGTTACGTAATCTCTGGCTTTAACCTCTTACCCTTCGCTATGATGTAATTTTGTCTGTCTCTTGTTCCAATGATTTGAGTTGAATTCACCACATTGTTACTCGATTTATTAGTTACCCATCATCTTACTCACCTCTTGTCCTTATTATGCAACTGCTTTTCCACCATATGCAAACATTTATTTAATTTTACTTTTTTGACTTTGTTTTGTTTAAACTTGAATCTTCTTCTGTGTATAAGTTGTTATCTAAGTGTAATTTCTGAGCAGTGTTCATCAAGCTTACAGTCTCTCCTGCTGACTGATGTCATGTAACATTTGGAAGCAAGTATGTTAAAATTGTTCTCTACATGAACTTAATAATCACTTCAGTTTGTATGTAGTTGATGAGAAGTCGACGAGATAGACGATGGTCCGATGTTATTCTGTGCACAAGGCGTTGTTCTTTTCTAGCTTTATTCAAATTTGTAATTAGCCTCGAGTGAACCCTTTTCACAAACATATTAAAGTGTTAGAATGCCTTTTTTTACGAAATAATATTTACCGACTTCTTGTTTTTGTTGTAGACCCCGAATATAATATTGAAATCTATTCGAAGTCTGGTTCAAGAATCTTCTTTAGCCCGAGAAGAATCCGAGTCTCTAGACAATTTGTTGATGACTCTTGAAGGAAATCAAATTAATTACAATAAAGTTCGAGGTAAGATTTATGTTAAGTGACTAATGTATTTGAATGTAGCGTATTCAAAAAGGAAAATAGTTTGCAATCTCTTGTTTTGGCCGAGACGCAAGTGAGAGATTGATTCAGTGAGTGTTAATATGTGACCATGGCGAATACTCATTGAAAATGACATTGGCATGAAATGTTATTTTACAAATATTGAGGACTACTACTTCGTACACATTGCAGATGATTATTTTAACGCCTAACACTCCTACCAACACTTTGATTCACACTCAGCATTGCAGATTATAAATTCAGAAAAGTTACGCGTAATAGAGTGGTAGATCCTACTGGTCATGACTTCCCATCACAGCTTCAGAAAATCAATGCACTAGCCATCAGTGAGCTATTATTATATGGCAAGCGCTTGACGCGCTGGTAAGTTTGCCTGTGTTTTAGAATCTCTCAGAGAGGGTGACGATATGAAGGAACTTTTGATTCAACTGTCCAATATTTACGTAGGATATGTTACCATTACACATTACCATCCGTAAATAAGTTGTCATCTCTCGCCATAACTGTTGTGGTTTTTCCTTTGTATGTGAGACCTAGTAGTATAAGAATGATTTTTCTTTATCCATCGGTCTTTTGTTTTGTTCTAGAGTTGAGCAATGTGCTCTTTGTCTCTTTGATCACCGGTACGATAGCTTGACGTATGTTATACTGAGTCTATTCATACAGTTAAGCTTCATTTGATGATATTAGATGGTTGGAGGCAATCGAAAGGAAGCCTAGTCTGACCTAGATTTCGTGTTAGTTGGCACTCACCAGTCAGTCAGCAAGGCGTATCTGCAACCTTGAGGGAACTCATGTCCCCCTTGAGATTCGAATCCGCGTCTCCTAGTGAGTACTGCAGTGAGAGACGTTACCACTGAGCTATTCAGTCTCGCGATTGACCTCCTGTATGACTATAGTGGATACTTTGATTAGAAAATAGTCAGTAACTAGTGTGATATGCCTTGTCCTTTCTTTGGTGCAGACTGAACTCCATCAGTCAGGTTATTAGTGTTCAATCAAAATACCCACTACAGTTCTACAGGAGGTCAATCGCTAGCCCGAATAGCTCAGTGGTAACGTCTCCGACTGCAGCACTGGGTGACGCGGGTTCGAATCTCTGAAGGGACATGAGTTCCTTCAAGGTTGCAGATACGCCTTGGTGACTGGTGAGTGCCGACCATCACCAAACCTAGGTGAGATTGGGTTTGCTTCCGACCGTCTCCAACCATCGAATATCATCAAATCAATGTGCACCGTGATGTCGAGCTACCAAGAATGGTGGCCATATTACAAACCTGGCTTATAGAATTCAGTCTGCACCAAAGAAAGGACTAGACACATTACACTAGCTACTAGTGTCCAATCAAAGTTTAGCTTCATAATAGAAACTATTAAGCTCATATAAAATGCATCTATTTAGGCTTCAGATTTTCGACGTTATTTCAACTTTTGCTTGTCTACAGAGTATTTTTTGTTGTTGTCATTTCTGATGAAATTCACCGGTTGTGATTACAGAAAACTAATGCCGTCTTATTTCCTTTTTAGAGGAAGACAAGAAATCTCAAACAAAGCTTTTAGAGGATTTTGATTCCAATGGGAAAAAACTTGAAGAAGCTATTAATGAAACAAAAGATATTATTTGCTTCATCGAAGAATATCTACCTCGGAGCTGAGCTTAACTATTTTGAAATATACAGAAAAATTTATTCGCTGTGTTGTAATTATTCATGCTTTCTAGCCTTCTATAAAAACTGTGTATGACAAATACGTGTGTGATAAGAATGTCCGAAATGTGTTGCGCCAATACATTACACGTTTCAGATAAACTTCGTCTTCTTATTGTGTTGTCGAAATTCATAAAGGGAACTAATTGCTTTAGATATCATAGATATTATCGTCAAAGTGCATACACTGAAACAACAGACAGAAGGGTTGTTGTCCGCATTTCTGAACGCATATCAAGGAACTTTGTTAGTGTAATATGAATAGGTTTCTGAGTTTCAGTCAGTTTATTAGTCACTCAATCTATTAGTCAGTTGTACAATGTGATATGTGGCCAAAGAAACAAAACGCTGTTGCAGACCGTGTTACACAATAGTATGATATTCGACGTTGTCAGTCATCATCAGTAGTGAAGAAGACATCTAGGTCAACGGTTTCATCCTTGTGAACACTCACCAGCTAAATGAATAGGCAATTATGAGGAAAATAACATTACCCCCGAGGTTCTGTCTGTCTGTCTGTTTTCGACATAGAACTTTGCACAAATGTGCGGAAGTTCAAGTCGCCACATTCCGTGTAGCACGCGAAGCAAGAGAAGAAAGTACAAGAAAAGCATAATAGAAACAGTGAGCAGAGGTGTGAGACAAAGGAGTAATAAAGAAATACAAAACAATTTCATTGAAGATCATAAGTCACAGGGAGTGGATGCATCTGCGCCACTGAGAACGGTTTTGAGCCATGTCACCAATTGTTTCCAACCATAGATTTTTGCCGTCCCGAGGACCCCAGCCTGGAAGTCTACACCTTCCTACGTGGCTAAGACCAACTGTTGTGGATTTCATTGACTGATGCCAAGTTTTTGTTTGACCGCCGCTAGCTTTTTTCCAGCCTGACCCTATATCCGCTAACATAGCTCGTCGAGGGAGGCGATGGCTTGGCATACGTAACACATGTCCTAACCATCTCAGTCGATGTAGCTTCACGACTTCGTCGATTGATTTCCCCTGTTTACCTAGGACTCTACGCCTAATCTCCATGTTGCTCACCTTATTATGCCACTTTACACGGGAAATAGAGCGGAGGCACCTATGATCAAAGACAGCTAGTCTTTTCATGTCTTCCACTCTCAGTGGCCAGGTCTCACAACCATAAAGGAGGATGGAGCGGACTGATGAGCAGTACACCCGCCCTTTGGTCGATAGTCGAACATCTCGTCTACGCCAGAGTCGGCGTAAACTAACAAATGCGAAACGAGCCCCTTGTATTCGTGCTGAGATTTCGTCAGAGATCAACCCGTTGGGGCTGATGGTACTTCCCAAATAAGTGAAGCGGTCAACGTGCTCTACCACTTCACTTCCTATTTTTAAACTAGGCGTCGATGTAGTCCAGTCCTGTAACATCATCTTGCATTTGGCGGGAGCGAATCGCATGCCAAACATTCGTAGATTGCTGTTCAAGGTGTTTAGAAGACTGCATTTTGTCAGCGTCTTCGCCTAGAAGGACTATATCGTCTGCATATTCCAAGTCAACGAGATTATTACCAGGTAGCAAGTCAATCCCCCGAAGTTCAGACATGAGTTATTCACTTCTTGAGTTAGATACTTGGTCACTTATATATAATCAGGTCACAGATTACACTGTCTAAGACTATGCTAATACGTCATGTGGGTAACCTTATACTTCTTAATTGCACACACCATGTACTGACCAATTAGTTTAGGACAAAATACAAATGTCAGATTATTAAGTACACAAATGTTTGTTTCTATGAGAAAATAATTGTGTTCTGTATTGTACAATGTTTACAAATAACTAATAACATGCATCGTCAATAATAAACTTTATTTATCCAAGTGATCATAGATTTGTGATGATAATTTGAAAAGAATAAACCGGAATAAACAAGCTGACTTGTTCATCAAATGGTTATTCACCTTCACTGAATGCTGTCAGCACCGATCATCATAAGCACGTGAAAGAGCACAAATATTATACTAAGATAGATAGGTTTAGGGTTACTAGTGACATCCAGAAATTCGTCATGCAATATTCTTGAAACTTCATGTGTATCAGTTGCATTTATCTGTCGTTTAAAAATGTTGACATTTGAGTTAAAATGGACTACCACTCCAAGTTAAAATTCGTAGGCCAGTATATCAATTTCCTCTGACTGAGTGGTCTACAAACCCACTTTGTGACTGAAAGGTCCTCCTGGTTTTGAACCGAGGAGGATATTGTGTACGACTGATAAGTCTCCAAATGGAATGAAACGGCTGCCCAATACTTCCTAGTTCTCAATGGTTCACTAAATGATATCGATCCGTGATCAAACTTGAAACAAATCCAATCCTTACAGATTAAGTCTTGAAAAACTTATTAATTGACAAAATTCTCCACCATCTTTGGTTTCAGTGTATATCTGTTGAGCCCAAATGATCAGACAAATTTCGAGGTTAGATTTCACCACAGTTTCCTGTGGAAATCAAAATTTCACAATATGTCAGCTGCTCGACGTCATAAATGACTGATACTAGTAGTATACAATTGCTCATCTGGACCAGTTAGTAGCACTTAGTATTATACATATATGCCTCGTTTCAAGTAGATCACATATTGTGATCCATGTAGATTTATGGTGTCACCACTTCACCTAAGTAGCTGGCCAACCAGAAATAGGTTGCTTTCAACTGATTCTGCTCTCTGAGCTCAGTCAAACTGGGTGCATGATTGATGACCTCATCCTCAAACGAGACAAACAGTCTTCCTGTGTTTCAGCCACTTCGTCTGGTTAGAAAGCACAACTACTTGATATGAATAGTGTCAAACTACTTATTTCACTCAATCAGTAGTATTATATCAAACTGTTTAAATGATGAAAAGTTAAATAGCGAAATAATACCAGATTTACAATTAGTAGTGTTCTCTGAGCTGGTTGGTTTAGTTGCGAAGCTCTCGTCCATCCCCCTTCAGCGCAATATTTAGCATAAAGTGAAATGATTTGAATTTCCCATCAATGGTAGAATTGCGTCTCCCGGTAACCATCTTTACATATGTATTGATCATTTTCTATTGACTTGGATTTTAAACCTCCTGGTCACCTGATTTACTTTTTATTAGTTGATATATTTCGTCTATATTAACGTGTTTGTTAAAAGCATATTCAGCTGAGTACCAGGCTTCTAGGAATTCCCTGATATTTTGGTGTCTCCTCTGTCTAAGATTTCGACATTATCCCAATCAAACTGACGTCCATAATTGTCTATATGCATTGATATGAAACAGGAATATATGTCGTGTCTTTTCACAGCTGATTTATGCTTCTGGATTCCGATTCGAAGGGGACGCCCACTTTGGCCGATGTAATGCCTGTTACAGTTCATACAATTTATTATGTAAATGGTATTAATTTTATCTCCTTTTTCTGTTGGGTCTTTCGGTTTACATAATATCGAATTAAGCGATTTGACTGGCTTGTGTGCTACGTCTATATCAAATGGTTTCAGTATTCTAGCTGTTATTTCAGAGATATTTTTCATGTATGGTAGGATGAAATTTCTTGTGGTCTTTGATGATGGTTTCTTGTTGGTGTTATGATTCGATTTTAAACACTTTTTGATGAAATTTCGTGGATAACCATTCTTTTTGAAGACCGTTTGTAGGTATTTTTCTTCTGTACTTTTCAACTCTGGACTGCTACAGTGGGTTTGAATTCTTTAAAACAATGTCTGCACACAGTTTCTTTTGTGAGTAATTGGATTATTGCTGCACGTTTCTCAACTTCACTTCTGCTTTCGACTCTGTACCTAGATGTCTCTTGCTAAATAAGCTCTCTATGACACAAACTGAGTCCTGAGTCACTAACTGGTTGCATTCCTACTTTTCAAACAGAATGAAGTATACCGTATACAAAGGTGAATCCTCCTCTGCTGTGCTCACTGAAGCTGGTGTCCCCCAAGGTGCTGTACTCTCCTCACTTCTCTTTTCTTTCTTTCTACATGACCTACCATCTTCAAATGACATTAATTTTGTCAAATATGCTGATGACCTAACTGTATCCTTACCTGTCAAATGTCAAAGTGACTGTTCTAAACTAAACGGCTTTCTATCAGAATTCAGCCAATGGTCCAAGGAAAACGGTCTTACCTTAAACCCCTCCGAATGTCAAACAGTTAATTTCACCTTTAGGCACAAATCTGACCTAAACAAACTGGTTAGCACTCACGAGGTGTGCAACATAGATGGCACTGAAATAGAAACCAAGTCGGAAATTAAATACCCAGGCGTCATTGTGTCTGCTGATCTTTCCTGGTCGTCTCATATCTTGATGATTTCTAAGAAAATATTCCGTCTTACCTTCTACATCAATAAGTTAAGACACTCTGGTGTAACCCAACCCTTACTCCTACAATTTGTTAACTCCCGTATTCTGCCTATTATTCTCTATTGTTCCCCCTTAGTTTTTCCAGGGTTGGCTACTGAAGAAAGACTATACCTTATTACGCAGGATGTTAAAGGTTGTCAACAGGGTAAGCTACTTTACTTTTTGATTACAGCTTGATTCCACACCGTATTTTTGGTAAAAGTGTGGAATTTTCAACCTGGATATCGGTAGCCCAAAATTCGCAGGCCGACCAAGGCTATCAGGTGTGCGTCGGCGTGGGCTCGAATCCCGGACCATATTCATGGTCGGCGAGAGTCCTAACCACTGTGCCACCGACGCACACCTTCAAAAACACTGTTCAATTTTGGCTTTGCCGACGTGCTAATAAGTTTTTGTCATAATGAACTGAGATTTCTTTTATCTATGTAGAATTTTCTTATTGATAATGTAGTAACTGGATTCAATACTGTAGTAAAATGCTGAGAATTCCATTCTGTATTCGCAAATACTGTTTTGGATAAAAGCGAATTATTATATATTAAATAGTATATTTGAGCATCTGATCTGTGT